CCCGCCTTTGCCGCCCAACCAAAGTTGGGGAGCCAGTTTGAGTCCCCCAGATTTTGCAGGGCAAGTCAAGACACCACTGGGGGCTGCTGCAAAGTTGTTTTTTTTTTTTTATAATTTTTATTTATTTATTCTTTTCCCCAAAGCCCCAGTAGATAGTTGTATGTCATAGCTGCACATCCTTCTAGTTGCTGTATGTGGGACGTGGCCTCAGCATGGCGGGAGAAGTGGTGCGTCGGTGCGCGCCCGGGATCTGAACCCGGGCCGCCAGCAGCAGAGCGCACGCACTTAACCGCTAAGCCACAGGGCCGGCCCAGCTGCAAAGTTCTGATCTGCAGAGTCATGGAATGAAAAGTTAACCCTGCTCCCTCTACCAGAGCCGCCTCCCCATCCCAACTCAGACCTAAGTGTGAGGTCTCCTGTGAAGCCCTCTCCTGCTTCACAGGTACAAATGGTTGACCACCTCTGCCACCTGCCTCTGGGCTCCCACACTCAGTGGACTGACCTACACCTAGACTCTGCTTCCACACCTAAATGGCACTCCTAGAAGGAGGAACTGATTTTCTTCATTTGAACATCTTTAGTGATGGGCAAGCAGCGAACACTCAAAGAACTTGCTGAACTGCTGCCAGCTAGTTGTCAGGATACGTGGACAGACAGCAAAAGAAAAGGAATTGGGGACATTGGTCACCCTCCATTGTCCAGGAAGGAGATGTTGGATCTGGAACCAGAGGCACTCGAAGGAAGACAGGCATGATGTATGGCCTCTTCCCTCAGAGTCCAGGACCTGATGTGTAAAACTGGGACCCAGGAGCCAGAACAGGATGATGTCTCACCTCTCCACAGGTGCACACATGTCTCCTAAAGAACTTAATCACAAGAACTCACAAACCCATTGGCTCTGGTTCCCAAGAGCCCATACAATACCCCCCTCAACAGGTGACCCTTTTCCTGGCTTCTTTACTCCTACCAAGGCCACCCACAACTAGTCACTCCGCTGCCCAGAAAACATCAAAAGCAGTGAACAAGCAGCTCCACTCAGGAAGGCCAGAGATGCAGCATGGGAGAGACTCCAGGCTGAGCATGAGCCTGGGCCTTGGCCACCACGGAGACACTGGGGAGCAGAGATGCACAGTGTGTCTGAGGCGGGAGCCTGGCTAGGCCACCGCGGAGGGCTGCAAACTGCTGGGCTCCCCAGCTTGCCTTCACACACCAAGGCCTAATACTGCTCACAGACAGCCTTGGGCACTTCTACCTTCATGGGCCCCTTCCTGCACACAAGAAAACTAAGAATCATACTTTTCAACTGAGTTGGTATAAAGATGAATGTATTTATGTGTGCATATTACAACATTTGCTTTGACCTAAAAGTTCAGGGTCTTTTTCCTGCTAATTTTAAAAGAAAGCAAACATTTTCCCAGGCGACTAAAAGCATTGTGGGCCCCTAGCACCAGGCCTCCTGCGCCTGATGGATAAACCGGCCCTGCATTTGGGGATTTGATTTTCTGGCTGCAGTTCAAGGGAAGAGGCATACACCAGAAACAGTTAAAGAGGAAAATTATCTGGGACCTTCTAGCTACCATGATTCTGATTCCCCACCACAGACTTGCTTATAAAAACACAAGGTCCAAAGAGAGTTCCAAAAGCATTTAATCATCACACACAAGGCGCCCTCCTAAGTGGCTGGCACTGTCCAGGCTCCGACGGCGGCAACATAGCCGCGACGCAGCGCGTCGTCTCCGCGCGCGACGCTCGGCGGACTTCTAGTACCTCCTCAGGGCCGTCTCCAAGCTGAGTACTTCTCAAGTGCAATACCTCACTGAGTGACAATAAGCGACACGGCTACCCTTTCCAGCCGAGGAGCTTCCAAGGCTGAGACGCTGGCATCAACCACTGCTGGGCGGAAGCCTGGCAAACCAGGTGCCTCCGCGAGCTTCTCTCGACCCCCAGCACTCAGCCTGAGCCTAGCCCTGGGCCAGCAAGGAGGGCGCGCCCCAGGGGCGCAGGGCCTCGGCCAGAGAACTCCCCGGCCGCCGAAGTGAGGTCGAGCCCCGCACACACTCTCGCTCCCGTCAGTCTCAAAGCATGCAGAGCTCCACGGATGTGGATCCAAAAGCAACATCCCTCGAGAACAAAGTTCCGTGACACACGCGGCGCCCTGAGCCCAGGTAAACTCACGACTCGGTAACGGCGGGGGGGCGGCGCCCTCCGGGGACGCGGC